CCACACCCCACCCCACCCCAGACCCCTTATAGCCCCCCCTTCTGATAGTCCGGCGTATTTGATAATCCGGCACCCCCTGGGTCCTAAAGGTGCCGGATTATCGGAAGTTTACTGTATTTAGTATATTTGATCAATGCTAATTAATCCTCACAAAGCCCAGTCTGGTTGATACTCTCCAGAGCTAGACTTCAGCTTTGTTGGGAAAGAACTTAAGTTTTGTGAAAGCAATTAAATTTGACTGAACTTTAAATTTCTCAGATAAATTTGTTAAATACAAGTTTTGTTTTGAAATTAAACACAATGTTGGCTTTGTTTTGATGTTTTTCCCCATTCAAAACACTGGTAACATTTTCTTTAATTCAATTGTTTTATTTAAAGTTTGCCATCAAAATAAAATGGGATTTTTTTTAAACTAGGTCTAGTGTCATCCCTGCTTTACAGATTGGGAAATAAGGATACAAGGAGATTGAGAAAGTAAATAAAGACACTTATATAGACAGTCAGCTAGCCATCTAATACTGGCAACAGAAATTTCTGTTAAATGTCCATTGGAAACATTTTCTAACTTTAGATTTTGTAGACATTTACCTGAAATTATATTAAAAATGTTCATTTGTGTCCAATTTAACAACCAATCCAGATCACCCTGTATTAGTGTCTTGTCCTTATCATTTCTCTCTCTCCCAATTTTTGTGTCCTATGCAACCTGTCAGTGCCGATTTTGTTTTCTTCTAGGTCATTCATAAAAATAGAATAGGGCCAAGAACAGATCCCTGCAGCACCCCACTAGAAACGCACCTGTTCAATAAGGATTCCCCATTTTCAATTACATTTGAAGGCCTATCAGTCAGGCCATTTTTCATCCACTTAATGTGTGTCACTTTCATTTCATACCTTTCTAGTTTTTTAATCAAAATACATGGTAGAAATCAAACACCTTACAGAAGTCTAAGTGTACTGCATTAACATTACTGTCTGTATAAACCAAACCTGTCATTTCATCAAACATGTCTGACAGGATCAATTTTCCATAAACATGTTGATAGGTATTAATTACACCACCTTCATTTATTTTTGTATTAATCAAGTACCATATCAGATGCTCCATTATTTTGCCTGGGATTGATGTCAGACTGACTGGCATCCAGTTACCCAGCTAATCCTGTTTACCCTTGTAAAATATTGGCTCATTAGGTTTCTTCTGTCTTCTGGAATTTGCCCAGAGACCCCAGACTTATTGAATAAAAAAAAATCAACAATTATGGAAACATTTATATAAACCTACAAGACAAATTAAAAACACAATCTATGTTCTGGGTTAGATTTAACAGGGTAGTGCCCATTTAAGCTTGTCTGTAAAGAGAGTCATGTTAGGGTTAATTGCTAATACTTTAAAAAACTCACCTGTACAAAGAAAATAAAGTGCTTAAAGGAGGTGTTGAGATGGGCTTCCTCCTGGAGCTGCATCACAGAGTCAAAGTGCTGGTGGTAAATATGGGCATAGACCCTAAACAGACGCTTCAATATAGTCTTTGCCACAGACATGAAGTTCTTAGGAAAAGGGACACCTGAAACATGCAAATACATGCAATATATTTCTTAACCAAGTTTAATATATGAAAGCAGAAAAGCCCAGTTACAAGAATAAATATTTTCTGCCAAAGGCACTAGGCTTATTTAGAAACAGTGGCACTCCAAGCTTCAGTAAGGGTACAAAAACTTATTGTATTCAGTTGAAAAAATCTAGTCAATACACTTTTAATAAAAAAAATGATCTAAGTCACTGAGATATGGGGCAAATTTTCAAAGCATCGTTCCCACAAACTATTAAGTATCCACAGTTCTCTTTGAAGTCAATAAAAACTCTGCACCTTTGTAACGCCATACATAGAGGTACTTATGCATATGTCCAGAGATACTGTTTACATGTTTTAAAGTTAATCAGGGGCAAAAGTGCTTGGTTCAAGAGGGACTGGATGTCTACTGGCCAAAGGCCCCAAAACATCTACATTCTAATTCTTATTCTGACAGGGACTTCCTCTGTGACAGCACAGGGCAAGTCATTTAAATTATCCCCCTAACCTGTAAAAGAGAGCCAACACCCTTTTGGGAGCTTCTTAAGGCTTGATCCTGCAAATATTAACATACAAGTTTAACTGTACTTCTATAAGCAAGCCCATTGAAAGTAATAGAACTACTTATGGAAGGGAAGTAAAGCACATGCATAAGTGTTTGCAGGACTGGGGCCTTAGCTATACTCCACAAGAATCTGAAACCAATGGGACTAAGCTCTTTAATTTAGGTGCTTTCAAAAATCCCACCCTTGGAGGCTTAATCATGGCCTTTTGGACAGTATCGAGGTAGGAGTCAGTACCCATATGTTCACTCCACAATACAGCAGACTTCCGATAATCCGGCACTTTTGGTACCCCGGTAGTGCCGGATTATCAGATATGCCGGACTATCAGGAGGCACTCCAGAGGGGCCTGTGACGGATCTGCCAGGACCTGCACTGCCTCTGGTGGGGGCTCAGCGGGGAACAGCACGGCGAGGGCTGAACCCTCCGCCATTTTTCAGGGAGGCAGCTGCTTCAATAAGTTGTTAGTCAATTATACTACCACCGCTCTTTTGATTCTGGACTATTGGGAGTCTACTGGTAAAAGCAGCAGGGACAGAGAGGGGAGAAGATCTCTTGTCAGTTTCAGCAGCAGCCTGTCTGTCACCTGTGGATCCACCATTCCTGTGGACGCCGCCCTGTTCCCCCCAAGGCAGTAGAGGAAAGAAATTGTGAGCCTGTCCCCTGTGGATCCAGCCAGCAGTAGTGTAATGGACTAACAACTTCTTGAAGCAGCTGCCGGAGTTCCAGTTGGTGCCGGACTATCGGGAGTGCCGGACCATTGGATGCCGGACAATTGGAGTTTTACTGTACGTGTTTTGTTAGTCTTTAAAGTGCTACTAGATGATTTAAGTTTTTCCTGTTACAGACTAACTCTGCTACTCCTCTGAAGCTATCCTAAAACAGTTCATCACACCTTCATTAACATATTGAAAGTCTAAATAATTCAGACTGAAGCAATTTTGTTTTCAAATCACACAAAGATTTATACCACCCAGAGGAATTTTCAATAAATACACTAATTGATTCTCTAAAGCTGCAGATACTTACGCGCCAACTTAACCCTAACCATGCACAATCCCACTGAAGGGGGTAGCCGAGTTAGTCTGTTACAGAAAAAAAAAAAAAAAAAAAAACAGCAAGCAAATGGTCTGGTAGCACTTTATAGACTAACAAAACATGTAGATGGTATCATGAGCTTTCATGGGCACAGCCCACTTCTTCAGATGACCGGAGTTACTGCAGCTATTCATGGTACTAAAGGTACATATTTGCAGAACCAAGAGCATTAACTATCGACATTTTGATTTTTGACTAACAGTTTTGTAAAATTCAGACAAGATGCCCTGCCAATGACATTTTAGAACAAATTATAAAGTAATTCATTATATACTTAAATCTCAATTTGCAAGAGCACACATTTTAAAATTAGATTTACAAAGTCTCAACCTCATTGAAGGGCACTTTCAATATAATCTGTGACCCCTCATTAATTTTCAGTGAGGGCTGGGCATCTAACCGATCTTTGAGTGCTTGAAATACTGAATTTTAAACAATACCTTTTAACTAGTATACACATCATCCACCCTAGCACTGCTGCCTCTGATAGAAAGGACCCGCCAGCCGGCTCCTGACTGAGGCAGCCGGGGAAGGCCAGGGGGGAGAGGAGGCAGGAGTCAGTGCAGGTGGGGAGCCAGTTCCCTCAGCACCAGCTCTCCGGTGCTGCCTGATCACCTCCCTCCCCTGCACTGCTGCCTCTATCACAGAGCAGCCTCTGTCTGTGGTGAGCCCAGGCACACTGGCTGCTGGTCCTGCCCCTGGGAACTATCTAATAGTTATGTAACCCATAAGAGTTCATGTGGTTACGTGACTATTCAAGCGCAGTTAACAAAACTACCGTATGCCAGGAGACTGTCTTGGTTAGGGCTATCTTGCAGCCCACAGTGATGAAGGGTCATATGAGCCATTCACTAGCCTGGTTTACACATCACTGGTCTGTTCTTTATTGGACCTAAACAGAATAGAAACACCAACAAGGGGCTTTACACATTCTTGTTCTTTTTCTTCTCTCTTTTCCTTTCTTGGTTGCTTTTTAAAAAGATGTGTTAGGGTATGTCTACACTTGCAGCCTATTTCGGAATAGGGCTACAAATGTAGGCATTCAAAATTGCAAGTCAAGCCCGAGATTTAAATATCCCGCGCTTGATTTGCATCTTCCTGGCCGGGCGCCATTTTTGAAATTTATAAGCCTGGAGTAACTGCCCGCGTCTACACGTGGCAGTGAAATGGGCGTTTGAAATAAAGCCCTATTTTGAACTACCTTTTAAACTTCATTGCAGTAGGAATAACAGGTAGTTCGAAATAGGGCTTTATTTCGAACGCCCATTTCACTGCCACATGTAGACGCGGGCAGTTACTCCAGGCTTATAAATTTCAAAAATGGCGCCCAGCCAGGAAGATGCAAATCAAGCACGGGATATTTAAATCCCGGGCTTGATTTGCAATTCCGAATGCCTCCATTTACAGCCCTATTCCGAAACAGGTTATTTCTACACTTGTAGCCTAAGTTACTAAGTCTGCTGTGAAAAGTGATACACATACCACTTTTCACATTTCAGAACTGGCAAATGTGGGGACAAATTAAGCCCTGGATGGGTAGGTGAATATGGAGGTAGTGGGGACCAGGGGAATTAGGAGAGGCAGTGAGGGGCAGGGGCTATGTGGAGGGATGACTATGGTGGGGAATGGAGCCTGAAGCCCCATAGCTAGAGCCTACCACTAACCACCCGAGGGTGGAAACCTGACCCCACCAGCCTGAGAAGGTGGGGTTCTCACAGGGAGTCTGCTCCTCCAGCTTGTATGTCTCCAGAGGAGGGCAGAGCCCAACCACTTCTGGCAGACCTGGCGGAGAGGGCAGCAGCTCCCCCACCCCACCAATCACTGTGCAAGAGGCTCTCCTCACAAGAGAAGAAACAAAAGACAGGACTATGCAGCACTTTAAAGACTAACAAGATGGTTTATTAGGTGATGAGCTTTCGTGGGCCAGACCCACTTCCTCAGATCAAATAGTGGAAGAAAATTGGTATGACCATATATACCAAAGGGATAAAAAACAAAAAAAAAAAAAAAGTGAACACATACAAAATTGACACTTTTTTTAAAATTAAAGTGCTGCATAGTCCTGTCTCTTGTTTCAGCAAGACCAGACTAACACGGCTACATCTCTATTACTACTCACAAGAGAAGTCTCTGGTGGCAGCATTTCAGAAACGGTGCTCTAATGCACCTAAATACTTACACAAACCTCAGCAGCACCATATTACCCTGCCACTACACGACTGTCATGATTTCACTTACCAATCTTTGAAGGAAAGAGGGTTTCATCATCGAGCTGGTCCTGAACCCATGTCATCAAATAATCAATGTACTTGGGAGCTGAACATTTAATTGGTTTCTTTATATTGGTACCATCTGCCCAATGGTATTCATACCTATGGGGGGGAGGGGGGAAACAAGGTTTTATAAAGAAAGAGAAAGCATTTCTAAAAGGAGTCCTTTTTCAGACACTTCTTTATTCGACAGAGGCTCCCCCTGATCTGCTTGTTCAACAATGATAGTGCAAAAGGATTTTTAGCTGAAGAATGGATTAAAAAGGTGTCTTATCAGAGCCCCACGAAGACACTGGAATGTCAGTTCTGGCTTAAACCAGATTCCATGTCATTTTTACACACAACTGTATTAGTCTCCTTTCCCTAAGATTTAGAGTCTCTACTGCCTATTGCTTCCACATGGATAAAGCATGGAGATTGTGCAACTGAGGAGAGCTGACCACAGCTCCCTCCAGAACCAATTATTAATGCTCCTTGAGCAGCCACAGAGGAGATGTGCTAGAGAGGTCCCATCTCCCCTTTTCAAAGTTTAAGTGAACAGCCCCAGCAGCTCTCCTTGTCCTGGATAAATTGGGGGGCTTTTGCCATTGGACTCAGGGTTTTGTGCTGCAAGCCAAGCCTTAGAGGAGCCTCAAAGTGTGATTGATAAACCCAGATCCCTCACTCATGCCCAATAAGATTGACTTGAGCCACAACAGACTGGCAACTATAAATCACCTGCAGGACACACGTGTGCATATGTGGCTTTTCGTTTTTAATAAACACAGTATATTGCCTTTTCCCTGAAAAAGATTGTTTGCGCTTCTTATATGCATAACAATTAAATATAGCGGTGCCTTTAATTTACATTATATTTGAGACAGTTTGTGTGTTTGTCTGTATCTGTCCATCTGGCTGTGAGTCCGTTTGTTCATGAACTCCTCCTAAACCATAAAAGCTGGGACCACCAAATTTGGAAGGCAGCTTCCTCTTAACATAACTTAAAGTAAGGTCATGGTTTGATTGTTCCACGACTGTGGGATGTGCATGGAATATGTTTGTTTTTCATCAAACACAAAGGGAGAGGTGCGAAAGCAGGAACAGTTATACTCACGAATGACTACGGGGGAGGAGGTAGCAAGCACCCCAGCCCCTGGAAGCAGCCAGGCCACGTGGCACCCACCAACCCAGTCTGACCCTGGGGAAAAGTCACTGGCCACTCCCTGAACCTCTTCTCAGAACCGCAACCCTGACTCCTGCAGCCCCCGCCCTGGTCCAAAGCAGGGTTGGACAAAACAGGGCCCGCAGGCCAGATTCGTCCTGCCACCATCCCACAGCCCAGCAGGACCAAGGGCAGGCTCCCTGCCTGTCATCCCTCCCCCCACATGGCTCAAAGTGGCTGGCTGCGAGGGCCATGTGCATTTCTGTGTGCTGCATGCTCCAGATGGGGACGGGGAAGATCCACATGCTGCTCCATAACAATCTTGCAGGGTTTGGGTGCAGGAAAGGATTCTGACCTGGGGGAGGGGTGCAGAGTCTGGGATTAAGGTGCTGGCAGCTCACAAAGTACCCCTCCCTCAAAAGGGCGCATGACTAGCAGACACACACATGGCCGCAGCAGCTGACTCTCATGTATCAGAGGCTCCCATGGAGCCGCCTACTTCTCCACCCTGTGCTGCTGCCTCTGTATCAGTGGCATCAGTGTGGAGGGGTAGACAGGAGCTGCTACGCTTGGGGAGCCGACTTAAATCCTGCAGAACTGTCTGCCGCCTCTGATACAGGTGGGAGCCAGTGTGTGTGGACCAGCTCCTGCTCCTCACCCTCTCCCCACCATGCTGCTACCTCTAATACAGAGGGAGCAGCACAGGACGGCATGCAGGAGCCTCCAAATTTTCAGTGGCTATACAATTACATAATTAAATGCATTGTAACATCCTACTTCCAGCCAGAATCTACACTTGGCACCCCACCCCCACCTGTACCCCAACTCCCTGCCCTAGGATATAACCCAATCCCTCTGCAGTCTGTCCCAGGTAACAACTCCCTCCCAGATCTTGCACCCCCGCTCCCATATCCAGGTTAGAATCCTCTCTTGCACCCATACTCCCTCCTGGACTCTGCAGCCCTTCCAGCTGCCCAATCCAAACCCTCTGAACCCTTGCCCCAGTCACAACCCCCCTCCAAACCCAATCCCCTACCTCAAGCTCCCTTTTGCACTTGTGCCTCTTCCATTAACATCACAGAAGAGTGTGGCACGTGACAAGTTACCAAATTTTTGGAGTGCCCTCCATCAAAAATTATTGCCCCCATGTGTATTCTTAAATCAGAAAGAAAATTATTTTTTTTATATATATACACACACACACACACACGTACACGTACACACACACGTACACACGTGCTATTTATACCAACTTTTTTATTTCTTGAAATTTTCTGAAATTTGGCAAAATGAAGAGTGACTTTTCTGTGGCTGAAAGATGTGCTAAAATTTAAACCAAAACCATTTGAATATGTAAAAAAAGCACATTTGAGAAATGCCTTAATTGTAGTTCTCACTAGCTTAGTTGATGGTCTTCCAAGTTTCCTTCTATCCCTCCCCAAAATATGTGTAAATAATCATTTGGGACTGGAAAAAACAAAGAAATGTTAGCCATTAAGGCATTTTGGGAAGAATTAAAGATGCGTGTAAAAATCAGAGTTAGAAGGCTGGATGTACCATATTCCTCATTATATGAGCACAAAGAAAGCTCAGCTCAGGCCAGGCTCTGTAGCCAGCAAGCTGAGCCAAAGCAAGAAGATGCACTGGCCAAACCATGCATATGATTACTGGTGGTAGAAGGAGGAAAGAAGTTGGCATATTATCCTGCAGTTACCAGGCAGAATCTGACCACAACTGTTGACTGCTACAGATAGAAGTAAAAAACAGTCACGAGTGTCACTAATTAAGAGTCAGCCAGTATTACAAAAACATCTATCTGGGGGCTGATTGTACAAGTTCTTTGCCTGAGAATATTACAGATTACAATGAGAGTTTGACTCACTTGGAGGCTTGCAAAGACCTATACAATTCACACAGGAACAAGGGAACTGGTACTCTCTCTAAATTTATTATGGATTTTTGGCCCCCCCAATTTATCCAGGACAAGGAGAGCTGCTGGGGCTGTTCACTTAAACTTTGAAAGGGGGAGATGGGACCTCTCTAGCACGTCTCCTCTGTGGCTGCTCAAGGAGCATTAATAATTGGTTCTGGAGGGAGCTGTGGACAGCTCTCCTCAGTTGATTTTTTGTGTCTTATTATAGTATACCTAGGGCTGAATATTGAAACCTTTATATAGGCAAGTGTAAAGTATGAATAATTCCACTGAAGTCAAGTGGACTACTATACTACACTCAGGAAAAGGATTTGCAGGGAAAACTGATATTTTGCCAAATGCTTTAAGATCATTTGTTAAAAACTTCAGAGAGGTAGCCAAGTTAGTCTGTAACAGGAAAAACAACATATAGTCTAGTAGCACCTTAAGGACTAACAAAACATGTAGATGTAAAGTATGAATAATTCCACTGAAGTCAAGTGGACTACTATACTACACTCAGGAAAAGGATTTGCAGGGAAAACTGATATTTTGCCAAATGCTTTAAGATCATTTGTTAAAAACTTCAGAGAGGTAGCCAAGTTAGTCTGTAACAGGAAAAACAACATATAGTCTAGTAGCACCTTAAGGACTAACAAAACATGTAGAT